AGGTGTATACACACACACACACACACACACACACACAGAGCCTTAAAATTCAGCTAATATTCTTATTTTTAAGAAGGGCTGTGTGTGTTGTCCATAAGAACACATTTCATGCTGTTTAGTCGTGCTCAAAATGGAGGACATTTTGGAATCCCTCCTGGACAGAGAGAGGAAGGCTGAAATGGAGGTCATGTCATGGAAAAAGGAGGACATCTCTTACACAGCTTTACAATTCAGTTAATGTTCTTAATTTTAAAAAGGGCTGTGTGTGTTGGCCATAACAACACATTTCTGTTTTGTGTGTGTGTTTTGTCACTTCTCTGGCCTATTCACTCAAACCCCTTCCAAAGACACAAATGCCACCATTTCCCCCTCAGATGCTCTTTCCCTTTCCACTCTCCCTGTAATTAAAAGAAGAGCTGTATGTGTGTGTGTTGTTCATAAGAACACATTTCTGTTCTGTTTTATTTTGTGTGTGTGTGTGTATCATCACCTCTCTGGCCTATTCACCAAGAGGAATCTGAAACCCCTTCCAAAAACACCCAAATGTCCCCATTTTTCCTCAGATTCTCTTTCCTTTTTTACTCTTCCTGTAATTAAAAGAAGGGCTCTCTCTGTGTGTGTGTTGTCCATAGCAACACATTTGTGTGTGTGTGTGTGTGTGTGTGTGTGTTTTGTCACCTCTCTGGCCTATTCATGAAGAGGAATCTCAAACTCCTTCCAAAAACACACACAAATGCCCTCATTTTCCCTCAGATTCCCTCTCCTTTCTCCCCCTTTTCACTCTCCCTGTAATTAAAAGAAGGGCTGTGTGTGTGTGTTGTCCACAACAACAACAACACATTTCTCTCCCTGAGTGTACCTTATCACCTCTCTGGCCTATTCACAAAGAGTACTCTCGAACCCCTTCCAAAAAACACACAAATGCCTCCAGTTTTCCTCAAATCCATAAGAACACATTTATTTTATTTCTGTGTGTGTTGTCCATAATAACACATTTCTCTCTTGTGTGTCTCACTC